ACTGATATATTAAAGAATGTTAGCTTTATTTTGCTTTATATAATGTAAACATGACTCAAGTGAAGTGAAAAAGGTTTAAGACACAATAAATGTGTGTGTGTGGCAAATTAAGAGAGGTGACTTTACAAACTGTTTCAAGTTATAAGGAATTCTAAACTGTCATGTTAAATAACAACACTGAAATTAATATGGAGTTCTATTTTGTGATCCTTTGAAAATCCTCATAATGAATTCAAGCAAACTGCAGAAAAATAAACACGACTTGCAGGAAAATAAGCCTGTCGCTTCTTTTTCATGTTCTACTCAGATAAAACAGAATTATAACAGCGTCACGTTTATGACTCAGACTCAAGCACAGACTCAAGAGCCTGGTAAATTGATGTAAACAGAGATTTGGCTTTTAGCGTCAGAGATACAGACATTGCATGTGGAAAGAGGATCAGTCTGCAAAACAAAAATGAAAGCAAAACTGGGAATTGTGGGAAAGTCCATGGGAATGAAAACAAAAGGCATAATGGAAAATAACTTCAGTAAATGTAACACTGTCGGGGCGTATTAACTGACCAGTCATGTTATTTTTCCTGCCTAGCCTCTTCTAAAACAACACAGAGGACGTCTTCAAGTGTCAACACCAGCTTATATTCCATTTTCTTGGCCAGGATAAATCACAGGCCTATTGATTCTCCCAAGCTCCTCTCCAGGAATCTGTGTCCATTATCATATCTCGCAGTGGGAAGCAGATAGGTGACCTCATTTCTATGTTCTGCAGAGATCTCTCCTGAGGTTTTCACAACAGCAGGGATGATGGATGTTTACATCACTATGCCGTGAGATCTAGGCCAGGAGGTGCACGCTGAAAATCATATTCGATGAGATAGTGTTAGTTACGTTTATTGTCCACATGTACGTGGCATTTCATGCAAAATCCATTAGAGTGGGTCTTAGTGAAGATGTATTTACTTTCAATCTGCTTTACTGGACTTTCTACATGAGCTAAGAGGCACAATGGTTCTATAGCTTGCAGCCAGCTAAGAGGGAAGATGGATTACCAGCAGCTGTACAAGCACTGTGATTGGCTGTCTGCCTCTGTTGTCGTGGGTTTCATCCCTACAGATGGCCATGGTTACCGTGGCAATGGCAGCGGGATCAGCATCGGCAGCATCACAGAGAAGAATATGCAGTACAGTACCCTGGGAACATCTCTACATCATCGCCTCTCTATAACCTTATCGGACAAAGGGAGATGAGAAGAAGTGAAATGTTCGGAACAGACAGGGTGGTCAAGATGTTTTGGGGGGGATTTGGAGACGGTTGGCAAATTCTCTGTCCCAACAGCACAAAAAGAAAAAACTAGGACCATTCAATACATGTGGCTTTTGTTCACCCACTTCTCCCTCAGAGATCACCAGGGTCAGTGCAGCGGGTGTAAGCTCCACTCTGACCCCAGAATGACAGTCCCATCTGTCAGCCAACCTCCTCAGGACCTTGTGCATTGCGGCACAACTGGCCTATCTGCAGCACAGGAGCCAACCCCCACACAAGTTATCTATATATGCATTCAAATTATGCAGACGGTAAAGCAATAAACTGTAAGGGATCACATGCAAGCTTCTTTTACAGTGAATACTGTTCATCTACCTTCAGTTTATCCTTCATGTCACAGTCAAAGTGCATAATGATATCGCCAGAAACAAATGCATGATGATGCATGATGCCAAAATCAGGTAAAGTCACTGGTGGCGAACTAATTACTATTTTAATTCCAAGAAGTCCAGGAAATGCTCTCCCTCCTGCAGACTGAATACGTTTGAGTGCAAAGTTAGAGAAACCTACCTGATAAATAAATCCTTTAGTATGGTCCACTGAAAGCATGGTGACTCCTAAAGGTTGGGGCAGGATGCCCGCTAACTCCTCTTGTGTTAGCAGCAGTGGTAAGATGAGAGGCTAAGGCTCAGGGCCTGAGCCCCAGTCTGAGCTCAGAGAATGCGTTTGTGATTGTGTGTGAAGTGTAAGCGAGAATAGCGGAGAAAGACAGAGTCAGCTTGTCTGTGGAGCTCGCAAGTCAAACCCTATCCACTCCTCAGCCCCCTCCCCTCAGCTCATCCATCCCATGCTGGAGTGTGCCGGCAACCTCGCTCCGAAAGCACCACGGGCGCAGCATAAAAACAAAGAGCAGGGAGCTCAGCACAGCTCCGGCTCTGCCTCAGCCTCCGTCTCTCCCTCTGACTCCCACCACTTTCATCCAGGGTAGCATCAAATGTTTCTGACAAGCGTCCATCCGCCAATCCCCCCAGAGAGATTAGTGCTCTGACATCACGGATGCTGTGCCATGCACAGTTCTGCTCTGCTGAGCCTCCGAGCTCTGTGGCTGTTACCTAAGAGAAGCTCGAGTCCTGATTGAGAGGCTTCAGAGCCCCTGCAGACTTCACAGCTGACTGTGCTCACCACAAACTTCAAGTAGAAGAAACATGGTTAGAGTTCCAGTCATACTGTACGTGCATCCTTAAGTGTGCGTGTGTCTATGTGTGTGTGAGTCTGCACAATCTACCTGAGGAAAAGAAGCAGCTCTGGCAGTTGTGCATCGTCAGTAAAAGTGTGATGGAGACGTGGTGTGCTCCAAACAGGAACAAGCAGCTACAGAATTTCTGCTGCACTGCCTGATAAGACTGTCACTTACAACGATGATGTCTTTGTGGCGTCTGTGAGATATTCAGATTTTCATTTTACAATCTAATTTTTCCTCTCTCTCCCACCTAACCATCTGTTTCTCACATTCTCCATCCAGCTCTGTACCCTTCTCGCTCTACCTACCTCCATGTTCTCTTCAATCTCCTCCACTGACACGGCTATAATTAACCGTGGAGAGGAACACAGCCTGTCGAGGCTCCTAGCTGCGGAGGGGAGGCATCCTGCCTGCACAGTGGGATCGTTGATCTCGAACAGAGATTTCACACTGATCCAAGAACACCACGCTCAAGAGAGCAAGCAACCGGGCAACTCCAGCAGACTTCCTCCGTCTGTCCTCGCTGATCTTCTCTGACCCGGCCACTCAACCAGCTCTAACTGGGCAGCCTGGCAGAGCGCCTACTCTTACGTCAGGGTGGTAATTAGGATCACACCAGTCAAGTCCGAGTCAGATCCAGGACCAGGGCCACTTACGTTCTCGTTATGACGTGTTTGACAGGTAGTCGAGATCAACACAGAGGCAAAGATATGATAAAGTGTCCAAAGACATGTCCTGGCGGTTACTGCAAGCTGTTCTTTAAAATCTGTTCAATTCAAATCAGTGCTCAAATTATATGAAATACTTAAGATATTACTAGTTGCTACTACTACTTGCATAAAATATTCAGTAATCAGTAAATGCATGATTGTTTCATGACTATACACTATTTCATGCACACAATTCTACAGGTCAGATTCATACGTCTTTTCATATTTGAGTGAAATTAAACAAAACATTGATTAAATTACATATTTCAGAGATGCAGGATTTTCTTAAGAAATCCAGATCCAGAGTCAAACTGACCCGGAACAAGAAGAAAGTATAAACAGACAGAATTTCACTTCAAAGATTAAATGAATAGTTTGAACTGAGTCTATTTGAAAAGTGAAATGACTGAATAATAAACACTCTTATATCTGTGCGGGACGTGCTGCCAGCTGTACAGTGGCTATATTGTTAGCTACAGCCAGTTTAGACGAGTTAGACTGCAGTGAAACAGCTAGCCTCAAGTAAAATGACACATTGTGGTTTTGCAGGTGGTTATGTACATATTGAAAATGTGACCTCAAAGGACTAAGTAGTGTTAAATCTACTCTAAAACAATATCAATAAAAGATAACCTGATACACTCACACAGTGTCAAGATGAGAGAATAAATCTTTTACATTTAGAATTTCATACATTCAAACTCTATCATTTGAGATAATCCATAACATTTGGAAACAGGCCATCATAATTAGATCCCATGTAATAAAAACTAGGACACCTCATAATAGTAATGTTGGATAAATACAAATAAAGTGAGTGGAAGATTCACAGTTTGGTCAGTGGCAGACACGTGCTCGGGCTTGTCCTCAGACTGGCTCACGGCCCACAGTTGCATAAGCAATATTTTGTCGGAACGGACGACATGCATGCATCAGAACTCCTCTCAGGCCTCTGCTTACACTCATGCACTGTGAGCTTTTCAAAGCCTGAACTCTCTTAATTCCCATTATCTATTATTATTTATTCATCCTGTTCACAGCCTGCTGGATGCATAGTAACACGAGCAACCATTGTGATCTAAAAATACTCATCAGAGAAACAAGCTGCTTGATTAAAGATACAAGCCAAATAGAGCAGTGCGATGTTACTGTACATTATTGATTATAGAAGCCAATGGAATCAGGCTTTTTCCATCGGATCGATCAGCAAAATGGAACAGCCTGTCTGTTATCTGCCTCTGTGTCTTTTACTTTGAGGTTTTAATCACTTATCAACTCGTCCCACCAAGAACTTCCATTTTGTCCTGTGTTCTAAAACTGCAGAGGTGGAAAAATCATTTAGATCCTTTACTTAACAGAGGAACCAAAACAAAGCTGCACAAATACTCAGTTACAACTAAGTCCTGCCTTCAAACTATTTAAGTCAACATTTAGAAGGATTATCAACAAGTTATACTTCAGATATCAAAGGAAAAAGTATTATAATATAATAAATAGTTAGAGTTCTAATAAACAGAAGGGGGTGGAAGTATAATTTTGCAAAAGTATAGAAAGTAAGATCATTATTTAAGTTCCACCACTGCAAGTATTTAAACACCTCTATATTATAAATTCCTTTCTATTATTCTTGTCTAATTTATTACTTAAACTATTGATTTTCTGATTTGATTCTGCCTCTTAAAAAAACTTTTTAATGAGTGCATCAAACTGAGTTATCATTATTATTTAATAGCAAATCAAGTGACATTGTTCTGCAGGCTACAGACCAAGAGAAGAAATCTACTCACCACATCTGTATTTTCTTGGGAACTTTGTTCCTGCAAGTCAAAGAACATCAAGAAATCAGTCAATGGGACAAAAATCAAGGAGTGTGGGTGTTTAGCATGTAACCAGCGAGCTGTCTGAATTAAGAGGCAGTGCAGAGATACAGCAATGATGCATTCAGGATACAGTCCTATCTGCTGTAAATTGAACATACTCTAATACTTGACCTTGGGAACCTGGTAACTTGCTAGAAAGAGGCACAATAGTTGTTTGAGTCATGTTGTGTAGTGTGGAGACCCTGAGATTCTCATCATATGAACACCTCACATGCTCATACACATTCTGGTGAATCCATGACAACGCATTTGCTTGTTGTGCAGGCAGAAGGATGTTGGGGGGGGGGGGGGGGGGGGGGGGGGGGGGGGTGTCTTACAGTGACAGGGAAGCAGACCACACTGCATTGAGACTGCAGAGGAAACAGCACAGCCATCACAGCACATGAGCTCCTGACAGCAGCTTTCACCGAGCGCTGCTCTACGGAAAACTGAGACCTCATGTAACATGTCCACAAATAGAAAAAACAAGCAGAATATTGATTTGCCTCCAGAGAACTGGCTGCCTTTAAACAGGGACAACCACATATTTCATCTTCCTCCTCCTGAATGCTGAAGAGGGGGTGCTGACCACAGAGTCTGCCCTCAAGTGGTTCAGTGTGTGGTGCTTGACATACAACGATAGAGGTGATACAACCTGATGCCACACTGGAGGGACTGCACTGTAAACCTCAGAGAGATAAGTCATTCTGTGGGATGCTTGTCACAGCTCTATCTGAGTACATGATGAAATACTGGAATAAACATGAATAATAAAGATAGTGATCTCATCACATCTAACTGATTAGATGTCTCTTGTCTTATCTCCTCATGTTCTCATCTCAGCATCTTGCACCTGCAGCACTGAATTATTAGCAGGTTGCATAAAGGAAATAAAAACTGGGTCAACTGATAAATGATTTGGATGCTAGATATGAAACTGTTCAGTACAACCTGCACTTCTACATCACTGATGCCTCCAGAGTGAAGGCGTGGGCGTCTGTAGTGAGAGACATGTAATCTTTTGCCCAAATATGAATAGTGCACACGGTGAAAAGATCCATTTTGTCAATTTATGGTGCGCAACATCCTCCGTGATGTCCAGGCGACACAGAAGCCGTCAGAATGAGGGACATCTTGAAATACACATTTTGAAAATGAATCACAGCCCTGCATGGATGAGACCCTTTCATCCAAACTGTGCGTGTTTTATTCTAAAGATGAATTACATAAACCTGCAGGCTCAGTGTTTGATTCAACAGTAAATGGAGCTGAAAGGTGTGTGTGTGTTTTGTCTTACCGTTGGTAAGAGCGGCTCCATTTGAGCTCCTTGGTCCGTGATGTCCATCTTTTCTTCTCCTTGGCTTCACAATAGACAGGTCGTGATGCGCCACTCCGCCTCTGTCAAAGCGAAGAAGAGGAAGAAGAAGGTGGCTTTGTCAGATTTTAATTCCCCCCCTTTTTTGTTCTCTTTGGTTCTGCTCACATTCACCGGCCAGGTTTTTTCTCAAATGGAATGGAGGTACAATGCATTCCCGTCCTGCCCTACATAATTTACGCATGGAGGAGGGAGCTAGTGCTTCCCACTGTACACGCGTTGTGCCCTGGACGCGCTGATGATGAGGAGGCGCTCAGGGCTGTGCGCACACACTCCTGCATAAATATTTATTTGTGGAGACACACACAGTCGTATGTTGGTGTATATGTTAGTGTGAGCGGCTGTTGTAATCGTTCTGCAATCTGTTTTTTCACGTGGTGTCGTTATATTTATCTTTTTTCTGCAGGATCTCTTTGTGTTATCTCGCCTTCAGGAGTCAGATGCTTAACGCAGTCCTGCAGCAGTGCCTTCATAGTATCTTGTTAGAGTCATCCATCCACCACAGGCGTGCACCATGCATGCACAGGTTCAGATCCTGTGCTCGGATCTAAACGTGTATTGCACGATACTGTGGGATATCAGATGCTCTTGTAACGCTCTCCTACGCGTCCCATCTTTATTCCAGCGCCGCAGCACGCGATGCTGCACCGGCGCTGGCCCGGAATCAGCATCCACGTCACACAGGGACGCTACTGCAGAATCTGGTGCACTGGCGCCCTCGTGTGGTCAAAGTCGAGAAACGTTACTTCAAATGTCGCTGCACCGCAAACTGGAGAATTAAAAACATGTAATTTAGGCTGATACTCCATATGTAATTTGCACATTTGCTTTGTTTAATTTATCTGTAGTTCTTCATAGTTGTATTAAAGTGATTCATACTATTTATTATTTTACACATTCCTATATGTTTGTATTATTTTTTATACATTTTTATGCAGATGTTATACTTTAAGCAGAAGCTTGGATCTACCTTTGTGATTTCAATGTGCTTTTTAAATCAAGCTGCCTGGCCTAAGGTGCATCATGCCGGGGAGTCCAGAGATTTTACGCATGGCTGCATGGGACCCAAGAGGCTTTCATGCAAAATATAACATTTTCATTTAACAGTTTAACAAGATGTAGTTTATTAATACGACTTTCTCACTAACTGGACCAAACCACCGGATCAGATTTAGCTGTGCACTTACCCGGAGAGATTAAAAACCCTTTGCACCACCTGACTCCAGCTCCAGCACCTGGATGAGAAGAGGGGCCGGGGTGTTGTTGTTGATCCGGATCCGGATCCGCCCAGCGTCACGGGCACCGACAAGATGGCCGAGAGTACGGGACGAAAGTGAGAAGGGGGGAAACAACAACACTGGCGGGCGATCCTCGGCGCGGATGCCGGAGCTGTAGCCGGAGACGAGTCGGTGCAAAGTGAAAAATAAACCCGCGGGGGGACCGCTCCATCCAAGCCTCCGCTCCGTGGCTGACATCTGCGGCATGCAGGCGGACCCAGCTCCGAGTCTGTCCGCTGACAACGTCCGTCGGGTCGGCTAGCAAGCGAGCTAACCATGCTAGCTAGCTGACAACACCATCAGCGAGAGAATCCGCGAGCAGAAAGTGACAGTTCGGCTCATCGGGACATAAACAGCTGTGGTGGGATCCTCGTTTCTGTAAAGTGGGGTTTGTTGCAGCAGCACGTTTCCCCTGAGTTTGGATTTTACCCGCTAGCTAACGCACAGCATCGGTAAGCAAGCTAACATTGCGGATTTCTCCACAGTTAGCATTAGCTAACGGCAGACCGTTAGCTTGCTCAGCTGTTTTTTTTTTTTTTTTGGGTGGACTTGGGTTGATCCGACCCGGGAGGACAAGGAGCTGCGGAGCGTGTGGAGGACATATCTATCCCCTAAAAGCACGACCTACCTACGGTTCTGGGTAAACGGGGCCTGGAGGGTTGCTGACATCCAGCGGGACTGTACACAGAGGTGAAGCCGGGGAGGAGCTCAGCGCTGCGGCCGCTGGACGAGGCTCAAACCCAGGCAGCAGCAGCAGCACCATGGCCCATTCTCCCGTTCAGGGACACCTGCCAGGGATGCAGGTAAGACTCTGTGTGTGGGTTTGTAGTGCAGGTCAGTGCCGGTTTGTGCACTGCGCACTTACCCAGCTCTCCAAGCTGCAGATGCATGACATTTAGTCTCTACTCATGGGATGACATCAACTATAATTTGCACAGGATGCCAGTTCACATCTTTGTTTTCAGCACAAGTGAATGCCACGTCTTTCCGAGAGAGGAATGGAGATGCACGATTCTGATGTTTCCTCCATCACTTGAAGGCAGCAGAGCTCTGCAGATTCCCTGTGGAGAGATTCAAGATCTTTATTGTCATGATTCTCAGGGACAAGGAAATTCAAGTGTGAAAACACAAGAATAAGGTGTACTGAAGGAAATAAACTAGACACTTTATTGATCCAGAGGGAAATCCAGTCATCCAGTAGCACACTAAACACTGTAACACGAGAGCAAAAGAATAATAAAAGGTCAACATGAGTCAAGAATAAGTTCACTGCAGATAGATGAAAGTCCAGCCACCAGAACTATAGTCCCTGTAAAGAGTATCTGCTAATGGACATTTGACAATACAGATATTTAAAGTTTAACGTAATTGAAAGACACAAGTAACAAAATATAAATACAGATTTAAAGATGAGTAACTGAAGCTATGAGACTAACAGATCCTGTAAAATTATGGTGCAGCAGATGTAAGTGTATTTTTTTTAAAAAGTGAAAACTGGTGCACACATGAGCCTTGTTTCTCGCCTTCTATCTTTAGGATTGTGCCTATAGGGGATAATTGTGTTGCACAGATAACTAGAGGAGATAACTGCTCCGAATGTAAACTGCTTCATGCATCACATTTTGTTCCCTGTGCAAGCTCTTGGCAGGCCTATCTGGTCTGGAGGTGCAGATGCAGAGTCTGGAGAGAACATGCTGGAGATGAGACAAACTGCAGACACACACTGATAAAGGCTTTACTCCATTTAGGATATTTTAATGTTGACTAGAAGAATTTTCTATCTTTCCATCAAGTTTGAAGGTGATCCGTCCTGTAGTTTTTGTTAAATCCTGCTTATGACCAAATGAAGAAATGCAGACGGAAACATAACGTCCTGTGTGGAGGTAACTACAGGACACCGAGGCGAATGGAATCAAAGTTGTTGCTCGTGAATTTAATTTTCTTGCCACATTTTCGTAATCCAAACATTGATTTAATACAGGTCCAACTCCTACAATGCACATTGTAAGTTTGCAGCAGGAGTTAGTATTGACCAGAGGCTCTTGTTCCAATTTCACCCCCCTGCTCCCAAACAAAGCATCTCTCTGTTTTATTGAATAACTCATCACTTTATCACCTCTTCATCTGCTCTGCACCACACTTTCCTCAAAAATGTATTTCAAGGCACCAACACAATCTCCTCTGGTGACACAATGATCCCTTCTTTTGTAAGACCTCCAAACAGACGTATTGACCCTCTCCCTGCTCAAAAGAGGTCATAAAAGCAAGTTGTTTTTGTCAGCCACCGCTCTTGTGTTTCCCCATAGAACAGCCTCTGGAGAGTTAAGTCATTTTAGTTCACTTCCTGGGGCGTACGATTAGGGTTTTTTCATTCCACGCTCAGATCTACACGCTGCACTGTGCTACCCTGAAATGTTGGATATATAAATTCAGAGGGCCTTTCTCTGACTGCCGTTACACAGTTTGAAATCATAGCCAACAATAATCCCCAAAGATACAGCTGGATATTAAAGGACTAAAATGTAATTCAGACACATGTTTTGTGTTATTTAAATTCTTTTTTAATCTGCATGTTATCCAATTGTTACACTCTTTCCCTTTCATTCTCCTGTGTCGTTTTTTCTGTACAAAAACACAAGGTGTCGCAATGAGTGAATTAATGTATCCTGTAAGAATGGGCCCTGCTGGCGTTTCCTATTTACTCCCCGACATTCATTTCCTTTCAAACGTTCCTTTTTATTTCTTTATCTTTCCTTTTTTTTTTAAACCCCCTCCTTCCCTTTCCTCCCTGCTTTGTTCCACCTCCCTATCATCACCAGAATGCCAAAGCGGACCCGGAGGAGCTGTTCACCAAGCTGGAGCGCATTGGCAAGGGTTCGTTCGGCGAGGTGTTCAAAGGCATCGACAATCGCACGCAGAAGGTGGTGGCCATCAAGATCATAGACCTGGAGGAGGCAGAGGACGAGATCGAAGACATCCAGCAGGAGATCACAGTGCTGAGCCAGTGTGACAGCCCCTTTGTCACCAAGTACTACGGTTCCTACCTGAAGGTGATATTTGTTAGTTTACCCCATAAATCAAACCTCCCGTCATCAACTTTGGTGACACTTAGAACTATTTCTCTCTTTCTACCCACGTTTGTCCCTAATAATCCTGAATTAAAAAGAGATTAGCCTCAGATGGTTTTAGACGCCCACCAAGCTCCCACCGCTCACATCATAACCTGCATCCTGGCTCTTGACACCTTGCAATAAGCCAGTAACCACGCTAATGAACGAGCTGTGAATATTTCTCCTTAACCGACAGCTCCTTCTCTTCTGTCTCTGTCTCCACTGTTCCAGGACACTAAGTTATGGATCATTATGGAGTATTTAGGAGGAGGCTCAGCATTAGACTTGGTAAGTGATTCACCTGCTACTCTTGTTCTGAGCTCTGTACTTCTCTGCTGTTCATGTTTACTGGTTTAATGATACATCAGAAAACGTCTAACAAGGCAAAATTTCAATCTTTGTGCCTCCTGAATCTGAACAGAAGTAGTATTTTTATCTTTGGATAAAACTAACAATCATCTGGCCACAGCTCACTTTGTTTGTTTGTCCTGAAGATGGAGCCCGGAGCTTTGGACGAGACCCAAATCGCCACCATCCTGAGGGAGATCCTGAAGGGCCTGGAGTATCTGCACTCGGAGAAGAAAATCCACCGGGATATCAAAGGTAGGTGACTGACAGAGTGTGCTGCTGTTAGAGGACACAGGTTTCAGCTGACTAAATGGCATCACAAAAATATCACATAACAAGTTAATGGCATTGAAGTCCACTGAGGGTTTCATGTCAGTGGGGGAGTTGAGGCACTGACGCAATCCACTAAAAGGCTTTTGACAGCTGTTTCCCTGTTTATTAAATAAATTGGTGATGCAGATAAACGGCTGAAGAAGACGTAGCAAAGCTTCTCGCTCGGTGTCTAGTCTGAGTCGAATCATATCGTCTGTCCTTCCTCCCCACCGCAGCCGCCAATGTGCTGCTGTCCGAGCAAGGGGAGGTGAAGCTGGCAGACTTCGGAGTGGCCGGTCAGCTCACCGACACCCAGATCAAACGCAACACCTTCGTCGGCACGCCCTTCTGGATGGCACCCGAGGTCATCAAACAGTCGGCCTATGATTCTAAGGTACGTTCAAAGCCAGTGATGTTTATTCACACAGTACACTCCCTCTAGATGCATCGATTTGTATTCCTCCTGTCAGAACAGCACTACCAGCACCTCTGTCCGGCTACATCCACATGAAAGAGGATCTCTGTTGGGAGTCCAGGGAAGAAAATGAAGTAGTAACATTGTCTCAGTGTCTCCCTTTGCATTCCAGGCTGACATCTGGTCTCTAGGCATCACGGCCATCGAGCTGGCGAAAGGCGAGCCGCCGCACTCAGAGCTCCATCCCATGAAGGTTTTATTCCTCATCCCAAAGAACAACCCGCCGACGCTAGAGGGAAACTACAGCAAACCGCTCAAGGAGTTTATCGAGGCCTGTCTCAACAAAGAGCCCAGTTTTGTAAGTGTTTATTTTTCAGATGTAAGGATTTACTCTACAGGCTTTCAGTCTCTTTTTCCCTGACTCACGTTTCTTCTCTTCCACAGAGACCAACTGCCAAAGAGCTGTTGAAGCATAAGCTGATTGTTCGCCATGCGAAGAAGACCTCGTACCTGACTGAGCTGGTGGACAAGTACAAGAGGTGGAAGGCAGAGCAGTCTCGAACCACAGAGTCCAGTTCTGATGAGTCTGACTCGTAAGTTGATGTTTTTGGAAACCTAATCGATTCTCGTGTCTGCATTTTATTGCTTTCCTCTAAGAGCTTTCCTATTTGGTATCTGTCCAATCAGAGAGCAGGATGGCCAGGCGTCGGGAGGCAACGACTTTGGCAGTGATGACTGGATCTTCACCATCCGAGAGAAGGACCCCAAGAAGCTGCAGAATGGGGAGGGCCAGTCGGGGGCCACAGATCAGGTGAGTCAAAAGGTGGACAGTAGAAAAGGACAAACCTGTGTCTCTTTGTTTGTGCAAAACATTTTCCAGTTTTAAAAGCCATCCTCATCACGCTTTTAGAACGAACCCATGATAACATAGTGTCATGTTATTCGGGGAAAGCTGCATGCTATGCTCTTAAAAAAATCCCCCCCCAGGTAAAGCTGTGTTACTTCCACTCCGACCTTCTCTCCTGATCTCACATCTGTCTGTTTGGTCCGCAGACGAAAGACATTCCAAAGAGGCCTTATTCACAGAGCCTGGCCACAGTCATCTCTCCTGCATTAGCTGAGGTAAGGAGCTACATCTGGATAACAAACAGCTGGGATGCCACAGATTACTCTTGTTTACACTCATGACTTCTCTATGTTGAAAATAGTGAACTGACGTGATCCCAGCTGAACACAGGACTCAGTGGTGTTTCAGAGGGGTGTAGTCTGTGCATGAACTGACCTGAGGGTGCTTTCACTGCTTATCTTTTTGGTTTAGTTTGAGTGGTTAAAACTGGGTCGACGGACCGCAGGGGGTCCTTGAAAGCCCACAGGCTCAGAACAATATGTAAATTGTTTCATTCCTCAACACTGAACAAGTTTCTGGGTGACTGGTCTGATTAGAGGCTGTATTTCCCTTTCTTTCCAACACACTGGTTACTGAACATTTTCCACGTTTTTCCTCTAATCGATAATCAAATCTACCTTCTCCCCGCTCTCAGCTGAAGGCGAGACAGGAGCAGGTGAACGGGAACCCCATGGTCCTGGACGAGCTGAGGGAGGCCATCCTGCTGGCTGAGGAGTCCTATCCTGGCATCTCCGACTCCCTGGTGGCCCACATGGTCCACAGGCTGCAGAGGTAACAGCTCCACTCTGTTCAGACCTGGTGTGTAAACATCCGTTTGAGTGATCAGTTATTGAAGCAGAAGAAAAACAGCACAAGACAAAACAAACAAGCAGAAGTAATGTCTGACTTGTCCAATAACAATAACGCCATGTCGGCATCCTTTGGCCTCTTTTAGCTCTCAAATGAACTATGCTCCGATATCGCAGAAAGAATTTACTAATCTCTGCCATTCCTGTCTCGTCTTTCTGCAGTTTCTCCACAAGCAGAACGTCCTCCTCTTCCTCCCCATAGTGATTAGCTCTCTGCTACCCGCCCTGCTCTCCCAGGCCCACCCCCCCCAACACCACAGCCAGTTCAGAGGGTTTAAAGTAAGGGGGTCAACGCATTCAATACCAGTTGACCATGTTTGAACTCCCGTGTGTGGGGAGGGGGCCACCAACCTAGCCTGTAAAAAAAAAAAAATGACTGAACTCTAAAGCGGAGGATACTTTGGAGAGCTTCTTTTTGCCTCTTAAGAGAGGGGGCAGCAGAACCCCCTCGTGGATTTGGCTGTGACTCAAAAGTTGGCTCAACCCGCCGGGATAAACGACAACAGCCAAGTCGGACTCTGGAATCAGTTTGTTCAGCAAGGAGCTGAAGATCTGCCCCCAAAACCCCAAGACGAGACTCGAGTCCCCTTCTGAATGCAGGCGTCATATCCCCAGAACCTCTGAAAGCATGCTTGATGAACCTGCAGGGATATCATCTTAGTGTGCAAGCTGCGTGTGTGCGTATGCGTGTGTGCGTGCGTGCATGTGTGCTCTTGCGTATGTAAGACTCCCTGTTGAGGCAAATTGCAGCATTCTTAATGAAACCTCAGGTAAAGTGCTTTAAGTGGACTTTGTCCTCCGAGGCAGTGTGAGGAGGAGGATGGGGGAGGGAGGGTGTCGCCATGCTGTACATGATTACAAGTCGTCATTGCGGGAAATGAATCACTGTGTACAAAATGGTCATGCACATTTTGTTGATAATGATAATGTTTAAAGTAGATATTTAAAGATTTCAAGCGTTACTCCGACGGAACAGAAAATGCCTTGCCTTTTTAAGATACACATCTATGTTCTGGCATTTCATCACACACGTGTAAGTTCTTTATTTACTCGTCGGTGAGTGAGACTCAGTTCAGTATTCATCAGTGTTTTCTCTCGGATGTGACCGAGCTCCAATCTTTCATTTCAATCACCTGCTGAATCATTGAACTAACTCTGATACTAAGCTTATTTTGTTTTTTGTTTAGAGGCAGAAACCTTTCCTTTGTTTTTGTAGTCAGGGAGGGGAGCTCCTTCCTGTGCTGATGTTTAGACAATTTAAGTCAGTTTTTAAATTGTTTAGGACAAGAATAAAGGTACACGTGTCCGCAGTGGCTCTTAATAACAACACAGAGACGAGCTGAGGAGAATTCATTAACTAAGAGGAACCACTATGGTGGCGGAAAGGTGATATTATGTGAAGTATTATTTTTCATTGGCTTGTAATTTAGCCTCTACGTTATTTGCAAAGCTAAAGTGAGAGGTGAGGACTGTCGCAGGCAATCACATCATGACACTCGCTCATGGCCAAACTAAACCGTATATCAGGACACGCCAAGCTGCAGAAACCAACGCCATCCAGATCCCCTCGTCCAGACTGCGTGTTCTGATTTCCATGCCATGCTATAGAAGTGCCATGTCCTCTTTTACGCTTTCACCAGATGTTTGTAGTATGATTTGCACCTTTTTTTTTTCCTCCTAAGTTTCAGATCAGTTTTTTTGCACTTTGACAGTGTGTCGAGTATTTAAAGAAAACCTGTAAGTGGAGGAAAAAAGAACCACAAAACGAAAAAAGTTGCTAATAGCCATGTTTTACTATATATGTTTACTTAAGAGTTCCAGAATTTTACTACTGTGCTAACGCAGCAATAATGTTGAGGAGTTGCATCAAGACGCACTTGTCAACACAGGGATTGAAAGAAATTAAGAAATATCTGATATTTTTATAACTGCAAAGAGTTAAGTATGGAAATATGGAATGCTTTATGGATATGGGCACCTGCCTCCGGCAAAAAATATCTATACCTTACAGAAAAACATATGCTACGGAAATAACTACAAAATGTGTACATTTGGTCTCCTTTATCATAGCTGACAGTTTATAGTACTGTATATAATCTTTGCTTGTGTCATTTGAGAATTCCCAAGTTAAATGTAAGCTCCTTGTAAGCTTTCAAAGTGACATGAGAAATAAAGATCTAATGGTTACAGACCTCGTCTTGCACATTATTCATACTGCTTGATGGCTCGGTAGAGACATTTATTATTGTTATTACGGATTATTACCCCGCCCCTGTGAGCTTGTTAATGACCCACATTCCTATGAGCCTTGGCTGCACTTTTATTGCATGTCGACATTAAAAACCCAAACATTATTTATGTGTGATATTGTTGTTCACATAATTACAAAAGGGTTTGTACAAGGAAAAATAAATTTATTTGAAATTAGGTCATTACATAGTTTTTACAAAACTACTGCTGATGTAAGTATTTACCAAAAACATGAGTACGGGTGTTTTTTTTTCTTTCGGGGGAGGACAGACAATTCTGACAAAAAAACCAGCATTTGGGATAAAATTTCATTCTGGAGCATGTGATAAGATCATGCATACAAAAGAGTGACAGTATTTTACAATTCAAACAACACACTGTGCTTGGAAATAAATACACATTGGAATGGTTTCACATTAAGATGCTTCACAGTGCAAAACAAAACAAGAATCATTAAAACAAATTTACAACAGTAAGATGGGAAGATAATAGTGTTTGAATTATCCCTGCTGTGATCCTTCACTAATACTGTCCAGCAAGAGCTTCCCCATCGAAGCCCTGTTTCTGTGTTCACGTTTTCTGCAACCTTTCCCTCAGGTCATCCATTCATTCTCACCACTGCATGTACAGTGCATTGACAGAATGGCCAAATAGGCACAGGCACTCTCAGGCACGAAACACAGAGCAAAGTAGCATGTTTTTCAGAAAAGGGAGCTTCAGAACTTGGTCATTGGTCTTTCCTTCTCATCCGAACTGGAGTCAGAGGAACTGTCCTCGTCGTAGCGCCCCATCTTGTCCTTCCTGGCCATCTCCATCTTGTTCTTCTCCTCCTTCTCATCGGGATCCTTCTCTGCAAACTCGGCCTCTATCTTGGTCGGGTCGATGTAGGTGTAGAAGTAGGCCATGATGGCAAAGATAACGCACACGAACAGCAGCAGAGAGGCGAAGAGGACGTACTCGGCCCACTAGTGACCACAAACACACACACACAGTGTTAAAGTTGATCTCAGCTAGAGACATGTTTTGGGGAACTGCACTTGCTGAGAGATATTTGAGACGATTCTAATATTTGCCTATCAAATGTGAAGCTGTTTTTTTGCTTTTTGGACACATGAGGGCAGCAGAGTTTGGACAATAGTGTTAAATACAATAATTATATGAAGAAAACCCTTGAGATGAATGTTTGATTGTGTCACAGCAGGTTTACAATGAACCTTAAGGACGTGTTTTTTCATCCCATTGCAACTTTTAGGTGAAATACTCGAGTTCTTTCAAAAGACCCAGAAACAGGTGCGCTTCGAAACTTTGACCTCGAACAACCTGAAGTGAATCATCGTGTTCAATCGAACACATTTACATCCAGTTTCCTGCACAAGTTAAAGGCTTGAACTTGCCCAGGGTCAGTGAGGATATTACACGTCTACTGTTAACAGTTAAATAAAATCCACCCACCTGCTCTGAGAGTGTTGCAGCCTCTGCAATAATGAGCACAATGATGTTCCCGACAGCTACGGTCAACAGCCATCCAGCCTGCAGCACGGCCTTCATGTTGCTCGGTGCCTGCAGAGCAAAGTGACATTACAACTGAATATTACAGAAGAGACATACAAATCAGGACAAACTTGAAGGTCCCATGTAGGACGGAATATTTAAGTCATACTGAAGACAAACAAATTCACAGATTTTGAGAATAAAGTGGTAATTGAAAGGAAATGAATAATATTTCCAGAAAAAGAAAAGCTTAGCTGCTGTCTGTGTCAGATTCGTAATGAAAGCAGCTTCTACCTGTGAGTAAGAGAACTCCAAGCCGGTGACAGAGAAGACCACCTCTCCCACAGTCATGAGGAAATACTGAGGAATCTGCCAGGCCATGTGGAAGGTGTTGGGCTTGATGTCCATCACTGATTGGATGCTCTCTGCACACTTCAGGACAAACACAGACATCCAGATGAGCCACCTCAGTGAAAAAGTGACATATATTGTGACTCAAGATGTTTTCATCACTTACATTTGGCCCAAATGTGAACGTCGGTGGGATTATCAAAGTGTACGAGCTGCCGAAGCCCAGTTTTAGACCGTAGACACACTCCTCTCCAGTGCCATCCAGGATCTTGAACTCAGCACTGACATGAGAAGAAAAACACCATTCAGGGCAAATGTCCTCTAAAGTACAACTGCATGTGACATATATGCAAATAATGAAATATCAGTCTTACTCTCCCTGTTTCACGTTCACGTATATTGACATGTTGTTGACTGAAATTTCCTTGAAGTCCAGGTTACCCACTGTTACATTCAGAAAGGAGTCAAAGCCATTCAGGAATCTGAAGGAAGAAGAAGTCAGTGCGGGTGAGAAACTCTGGAACTATGTTACTTTACAAACTAAATATAACAAAATGTGAATAGATAATTAACAGAACATCCTTTTTACTGCCATAGTCTAACTTGATATGGTTTGATTTATAGTTATTACTTTTAGCTGATATCAATATCACCAAAAAAAAAAAACACTCAGAATACAGAGAACATTCATTTACTGTTAACAAGCTTCATAACAATGTGAAACTTGCCTGATGGCGTTAGCTCCTTCTTCCGGCTTGGTTTTGATGTCTTTGAACTGCAAATAGTAAGATACTTTAGATTTGTCCACATCTTTGATATAATGCATTGATAAAGGAAACAAACAGGATAAACATAATTAAAGTCCAACTGAAATCACATTTAGTCAAGTATAGTTTTGTATAATTCAAAAGGAATTAAAAAGGTCTTGTTTGTTTGAGCCACACAAAGTAAAAAGTGTGATATAATGAAATATCAAGTTTTCCTGAGTTATGAAAAGTTATCACATTGTTAATGGCAAAGTTGAGGATGAAAACCATGATGGGTATCAGGTATACTCACAATTTCATATGTGAGTACGTCTACATCCGGGATGATGACGATAGTATTTCGAGAGCCACCCTCCAAATTGGCTGTGTAGGTGACGTTGGGCAAGATCAGTTTAAAAGAGGCATCGAAGGTCAGGTAATCCTCGCTGGCCTGTGGGAGGAGAAACATTATTCAAGGTCAATACTTCTCAGAACAGAGCCACTAAGTTTTAATGCGACTGAATTGTTGGTGTACCTTGAAAGGCTCCAGTGTAAAACTGTTGCTTCCTGCTGTGATGGGCACCGGCTTGTCCACCATGTTGATGAACTTGGCTTGGCTTACAGTGCCTGATGGGAAGTTGGGCAGGGTTTTCTGTAGGAGAGGAGCGGGAGAATTGTTTGTGTGAGTTGTGTTTCATGAGGTCGAGTGTTAAAAGTTGTTTTTTCATGTGTGTTGTGCTCACGTCGATCTGTATCTGGACCAGAGCAGCGACCACGAACGCCAGAGCGGCGAAGATCATCCCTACAGTCATCCTCCTTAACGGACTGCACACACACACACACACACACACACACACACACAGATGTTGTCAGATGGTGTCAGATAAATATAAGATTTAATTGTCAACCGTTGAAATCAACTCACGTGAAGTTAAAACTGCACTTGGCAATCAGTGGGTAGAGCACACTTTCCACGACTGGCACCAGAATCAGGATCAAGATGGGGTTGACAGTCTGGTGGAAGAAAGTGAGTCGCTCCTTTAAGCTCACATCGACAGCTGCAGACAACAGAACAAGTCAAATGAGACGGACGCGTATGTCTTACCTGCATCTGATCGGGCTGGATTATGAGTATTCCCTGTTGAAGAGGAGAAGAAGATTTTTAAATCGGGCTGTATTGTGGTTTGAGCAAATTAAGTGTGAGTTTGCAAAAATGCTGGAAACGTACAAAGTCCCCGTCCATGGTGGTCGCCTGGAGGGTCCATCTCGAGCCCTGAGGAGGAGACACAGCTCTTATTTGAACCGTTTTCAGACATGAAAAGTTGGGTCCAGAGCATGCAAGAGGCAAGAGGTGTTTCTGTTTATGGCACAACGTGGGAATCACACACACACCACCACGCTCACATTCAATCACATCCTACTGTGTGTGAGGGAGCAAATCAGTAGATACCTGCTGGTCAAAGAGAGCCCAGAACATGGGCAGCGGGAGGTAGAGGAACAGCACCTTCAGCACCATCTTCACCTGAGCTATCAGGAGTCTCTGGAAGGAAACAGAGAAAATATCTGTTTGCATGTGTGTGCGCACATGTATGTGTGCGCGTATGTATGTGTGTGTGTGTGTGTGTGTGTGTGTGTGTGTGTGTGTGTGTGTGTGTGTGTGTGTGTGCTGCAATTACATCATATTTGTCCTCTGCCCAGTCCATCCAGTGTTCTTTCTTCGGATACTGAGAGGAGCGATGCCTGAAGCGGTTCCTTATGGCAAACTACAGAAAGCAGAAAGGACATTTTACGCCTCTGACTGAAATGTTCTGGTGCATACACTGCAACTGAGAGTGTGAACAATTGTGAAGTCCAAAGGTTTCATTTGAAAGCGTGTCAAATCTACTCCCATGCTCCGGAAACGTCACTTACCCAGATGCATTTGCAGACTTTCACAATGATGTTGCCTTGAGGGGCGGTCTTATTGTACATGCCACTTCCAACAATGAACACAACTGCAGACACACACACGTATTCCAAGTATTTAGTAGATATACGTGAACAGTTAGCAAATATTGTAAAAAATGTGAATAAAGTCTATGGAAAAACAACATGAGGCGAATCATTGTGATGATGAACTATTAGTATTGTTTTCATTTGTCTTCTATCTGCAGAGGATGTTTAATAAATCCTTTCTTATTACAAACAGCACTGATCTGCAGGCAACAAACCAACAGCTCAACAACAAATAGACAGTTCTTACTCAGAGCGACGACCATGAGGGCGGCGGGGACACCAAAAGCCAGCGGGTAACACTTCTGCTGACTGTAAATGCCACATTCCTGAGCTGGGAACCACAAAAACACATAAACACACGTTTGCTTCAAATTCCACATTTATGTCAATCCCATGTTTCATGTGTCCACGCTCACATCTGAGGACGGGGGTGATGATGGTGGACAGCAGACTGCCAGCGTTGATGGACAGGTAGAAGATGGAGAAGAAGGTGCTTCTCTGCTTCTCCTGTTGGACACAGGAAGACAAAAAAAAGATTCTTGGAAGCACTTTTCTTACCTGATAAAACTTTAGGTAACATTTCAGCGGTATCTTTAATATTAAGAGATAATCTCTGTCTCCAGCCTTGAACAGTGTAATAAAGTCAGATGATACAGATGTACCTGCACCTCAGTTAATAAACAACCAGCTGGAACAAAACAGATACAAGAAGTGCTGACCAGAGGCCACTGATAGCTGAGTGACGTGTCTTTTAATTGCTGTGTGTGCACGTGCACATGCATTTTATATTTTGGAGTTAAATTTGCCTCTGTAAAATTTAAACTATGTGAATTTATCTATTGATAAACTTATTCTCTGCGCATTTCCATTATAATGCAATCTGAAATTATATACTTGTAAAAGTGTTTTTACTTGTAGTGTTCCTATCAGTATTTATTGTGGGTCTATTGTAGGAAGTTTCCTGTAATTGTAAAGATAGTCCTGTGATCTGTTCCCTCTCCTCTGTGTGTACCTGATGGTCTTCAAACTGGTCTCCACCAAACGCAGCGACGCAGGGTTTGATTCCTCCAGTTCCCAGGGCGATGAGCAACAAACCCACCATGGACAGAACTCTGAGGGGGACAGCAGTACAGACACAGTGTCAGTACATGTTTGTGACTGTTTATCCACCGTACAGCTGTTCTGAGCAGGCTCAACTCACATGTGGAGGGTCATGTTGTCGGGCGTGCCGTCCTTGTTGGCATCTGTGATGTCGTGGATGGCACTTACAGCCATGACGACTTGTCCCACGGTGTAAACAATGGACAGGTAGATGATCGTCCTGTGCAGAGGGAGGAGGATGAGGAGGGAGGAGGAAGGAGCAAGTTGAGCATCAGATTCAGACAGATAAGATACACAAGGGTCAAATATCCAAGGATCAAACTTAACAGCTGAGCCAGAGGTTTGAATGTTAACAAGTGCAGCTCCACACTATTTGTTCTGCACTGTTTAATGAGCTCAATGCAATCCTGCCTGTAGCCTTTGGAACTCACTTGAACTTGCCGAGCCAGGAGTCTGCCACGATGGCCCCCAGGATGGGAGTCAGGTAGCACAGGGCCACAAAGGCGTGGTAGATGGTGGTGGCAAAGTCATCGTCCCACTTCAGGAAGTACTTGAAGTACAACACGAGCACGGCTGCACGACAGCGAGGGAGGAAGAGGGTAAAGGGATGGAGGAAAGATAGCAGTCAGCTTTGTTATTATATCCATTTTGCACACTGAGGAAGGACAGATGCCTCAAACATCTGTACAGTGCATGAACAAAAAAGTGGCGGAGTGAAGTTTAGAATAAGAAATCTACCACCAACTATCCAACGATATATAAAGTAGTTCATGTGTCAAAGTCGGAAAAGTAACTGTAGCTGATAAATTAATTTAGTGGAGAAATCCTAAGTAATATATAAAGGAAATACTCAAATAAAGCACAATACCGGTAGGATTAGACTTTATTACAGTACTTGAGACAAAGAAAAATAAAATAGCAGATCCAGAACAGCTGACTCACCTCGCATGCCATAGTAGGAGAAGCGCTCGCAAAACTCATTGACCACGATGAAGAAGATGCTTATTGGGTAGCCAAAGATGGTGGCCTGTTAGGACAGGAAGAATACGTTTAAAACAAGATGCACGAGCCAAAAACTTTTTGGACTTTAACCAACCACTTGATTGTTGCTGATATTTCATCCTTTCAGTCTTGTTTGATATCAATGCAGTAGAGAATGAATATTACAAACAGTGGAGTAAAGGGTTGGACTTACACTTCTGGGCCTGGTCTGCGTCCCACCATTTTCTGCAGAAATAAGAAATCGTGATTATAAAATTATAAAATACTTAAATAATTGCCAAATACACTGGTTATGTATATATATATGTTTTCCATTATTTACTGAAAAATAAACTCATAGAGCCAAATAGCAAAAATAGCACATAACAGTTCACTGTTAAAGGGAAGAAAGAAATATAATGTGCGATATAAATGAAGAATATTCCTCTAAAAGTGGCAAGAAAAGAAATTCCACATGTAAGTGTTGCAGTCACAAGGTCCAGACTCACCTGCCATGGCTGCACTATGTCCCTACAGGTTCCTTCTCCAACAGTATCCTTCAACAAGAGGCGCAGTGAGACCAGTGATCTCAGTCCAGATCAGTGACTCTAGGACGTAGCTGAGGCCTGAGCGGCTTCTTATGTGACCTCCCATCAACCTCCTGCAACGCCCACTGATGCTGGACTGCACACACTAAAGTTGTAGGGACCTGCCCAACATGTGTGTGTGTGTGTGTGTGTGTGCGTGCGTGCGTGCGAGCGTGCGTGCGTGATGACTTTATGGCCTCACAGATAAAGATGATTCGTCAGGTTAACTGACAAGGCTGCAAACTTTGCAGTACAAGGTGTATTAGAAATGTCTTAAGTTATTGCCTGCATCAATATTTTCTTTATCTTTTTCTGCTTTTATTTTATTTGCACACTTTTGTGCACATCGTCTTCTTTTTATGGTTCCTGAACTTTTTATTTGTATTAACTGCTTTTATGTGTCGCTGTTTTCTGCTTTGAGTTTTCAAAGGTGCTATATAACTAGTTACTATCATGTACATGCTAAGTAGAATTTTTCATTTTACACCTACACTGACATACTATCAGATAAGTACTTGTTTACACTGATATTAACAGCTGCTCTTGTACCACCTTTTGTTTTGCATTCTTCCTCATTTATTACTTTTATGGATGTGCTTATTTCTCTCCGCAGCTATAAATGTCTCTGTAGTGGCACTGATAAACGATTATCTAATCTTACTATCATTGCACTGTCATAGTCATCGAGTATCTGATCCGTCTTAATAAATCAATAAACACTGGCCTTTTATTTCACAAAATTATGTAATTGCAAGTTTATGAGGTATAAATCGAGTTTCATGATCCACCACAAGTGAAACATGTTTTGGTGTTTGAAAATGAACAATCAGATCAAATTTAACACAATTTTACAATTGCAGTTTAAATAATACCAGTTTTTAATACATACCTAAATGATCAGGCTGTTGAACCCTTTTCCTGTGCACTTGAAAATATTTGTGAAGTGTTAAATATGTGCACACAGATCCTCTGGCATGTCAATTATATTTGTTTAAGCTTTCAGACTAGTTCCTCTGTTTATACTGTTGGGAGACGTGTGCGTAATCCCTCCCATTATCCAGAAATGAAGCAAAAATTTCCAGATCTTTTATGCACAATTAAGATGTTTAAACTCCTCCTTAAGCTACAGGTTTTCCTAATCATAACTAAAATTACACATTTTTAAAATATGTTGTGTTATCTCCATTTTAATGTGCCACAAACTGGCTTTAAATCGAGGACAGTAAGACATTGAGAACATTAGTTTAAAAAACATGTAAAAAGGTCAAGCTTGTATAAATCTTTTTTTTGCCAAATAAAAACACACAAATGAAAAACTTGCAGGACTCACGTCGGACACATGATGATTAGCAGCTCAAACCTCAGCAAAACTCAAACAGTGACACAGTGTTTGTCCGGTGAGCCAACGGGACACAACAAGGTCTGTGTGTGTGTGTGTGTGTGTGTGTGTGTGTGTGTGTGTGTGTGTGTGTGTGTGTGTGGGATTAGCTGGTCTTTTACATGACAGTGGCGATTTCACAGGAGTCAGCAGCATCCTGATTTCACTCGTGTCTCTCGTGCTTCTCTCCGGTGAAGCTCTGCAGGTTCATTGGCATCACTCACTGCAACACACAGCTGCATTCACTGTGACACTGAGCAACATTTCACTCAAAGACACATGTTTGCGGAGGTCACAGTGACCTTGACCTTTGACCATATTTGATTTTGTTAAGAAGTCAGTTGAGGATTCGTAAAGTTGCTGCAGATGCAGAGTGTGCTCCTTATTCCTCCATGAAAGATAATAACAGAAAAGTAGGGAGAAATATTTTACAGTGAACATATAAAACCAAGGCTTGGACAAAGGTATTATTACAGATTTGATTTATTTATAAGTCTTAAACGTATTTACATGAGCAGTCATTAAGTAAAAATGTTTTTTAATTTCATCTCACAGATAATAAAAGGCATCTCCATGACAGACAAAGAAACAAAGGGGCAGATCACAAAGTGCCATCCTTCATCTTGCATTGTCTTTTTCATAACGTCTTTGGCAAGAGTGGTTTTCTGTGCAGTAGGTTGCCTCAGTAACAATAGAAAATATTGCACACGCTTTTTCTTTCTTTACAGAAAATAGGTTAAAACGTGGTTCACTTGGCTTTAGACAGTTCTTATACACGTCCACTGGCCTAAAATAGAGCGAATAATTCTTTCAAATGTTGTTGGTGGGAGAAAAGACAGAAATGCACCTGCTGTAACTGCACCTCGATGGAGAGGAGCAGGAAGAAGAAACGTAAAAATACTGTGCATGACTTGAAGAATGGATGTGCAGTTACAGCAGCGGCATTTATTCCTAATAAAAAGACTTCTTTGGAAAACACTGCAGATAAAACGGGAGCCCTGCTGTTAAGACAGATAAGGTTCCAAGGTGGAAATGCAGATGAAGCTCCGTGTGTTTGTTTGAACGTCCCGCGGGTGTGGTTGAGATATATTATGATAGCATAACGTCATCAGTCACAGTACTGGGTACATGGCTGCCGAATCGTCACGTGTTTAACCACCATCTTACACAGGATTCAACAAAACCATCTGCGTGGAGTAAATGTGGCTCCATGGTCTCCATAGGAAACAAGAAGAGGAGGCCTACTCTAATCAATACCACAGGATCATGGTTGTTTTTAGTCCAATCTGATTCCTCTCAACCTCTCAGAGCGTGGTGGTGGAGCTGTGAGGGTTGGCACTGGTTGGCGTGCCACTGATGGCGTTGAAGATGCCCATAGAGTCAGACAGAGCACTCCTTGCACCGTCCTCCACTGGGTTGATCTAGAAGAAGCGGTCAGATAGGACAATTCGCAAAGATGCTGACAGATGCACACATGCATGCCAAGACCGGAGGGAAATTATTTGGAGGGAGGGTTCTTCCCCTTTCTCTGATTTCCCAGAGAATATTTCATGATTTTGGATGAATTTAAGAAGACTGTTGGACCTGTTGTTCTTTTTTTTCCAATTTGTAGTTTTCAGAAAGTTTTTCTCATCCTGGATTTACATTTCTCTTCCTCCCTTCCTTTTGAAATCACTTAAAAATAACTATTAAAAAGTCACAGAGTGTGGGGAATATGTTGCTTTTCTCAAGTCCAAGGTGAAATAATATTGTTGTTTTTGCAGATACTGCATTCTACTTCAAGGAGAAGGTCCAAAGAACGTGTAAATAGTGTAAAAACGCTTCACCCCCACCATCACTCCAATAACCTTCGGACATTTGATTAATATGTCTCCATAGAACAATAACTTCAAATGAGAAAATAAAGCGTTACCATCCGATCTGCTCAGGCCGGCATAAAGAGAGCAGGAGATAAGAGATGTGGTTAGTGAGCGTGCAGGAGACGTGGAGGTAGATTTCAACGGTTAGTGGATTAAGCGACACAACATGAAACAATGAGAAACGTGCAGACAACACAGAACAGTTGAAGAACTGATCTGGGCACGTAAAAGTAGATATTACACATTAAATAATTAAAAACAAAAGGATATAAAATGTACAAATCAAATGCACTAGAAAACTTGGCAGGAGTATTTATGACAGGATCTGAATGACGTGCACACATCTACCTGCTCGTGCATGATGTTGGACAGCTCCCTGGTCAGGTCCCTGTAGTTGGCCTTCATCTCATCATGATACTCCTGCTGGTCCTCCTTGATCAGCCGCTCGTTCACCCCCAGCGCCTGACCGCAGGCGTCCACAAACTGCCTGAGGAAAGATCCACAAGTATTTTAGTGTTGCTGTAAAATGCTCTCATGAAGCAACAAGTAGAGAATAGGAAGAGGGAAAGAGGGAAGAGAGGTAGCTTTGTATATATTCAGAGGATACTGAATAACCAGTACCTGAAAACCTCTTTGAGCTGTTTGACCTTGTTGTCGGGATATTTCTTGGCACTGCTGTCGTCCAGGAAGGCTCTGGCGTAAGCAAGAGGACCAGCATTTACCTGGAAGACAGTATTTAGAAATCACACTGAGGTGGTTCCATCACAAATACAATGATTCCCTGTAAGTAGTGGCGCAGTGACCTTGTTATTTGTACCTGAACGCTGATGCTGCCCTGCAGTTTGAGCTGCAGCCGGATCATGTCCACCTCCGAGGCCGAGCACAGCAGTCGCAGCTCGGCCACCTTGGAGCTCATCTCGTCGATGGCCACCTCGATGGGGCTCAGGTCGGTCTGGTGCTGGTACATGACGGCTATGCGCTTCTTCACATAAGGGAAACAATGGGTGGCTGGGGAGAAAAATCCTGAAGTCAGATGTCAACGTGCAGTTTCCAGCTTGGATACTGAGACATATAAACTTCTCTTACATGCAGCTAATGGTTTATTGTTTAGTCTTAATTTGTCTTAATTGTCCATAACTAGAATATGAATTATGTTACCGTGCATGTTAAATGAGTGAGCGGGTCTGGATACAGTCAAGTCATTATCAGTCTGAGTGATTATTAACACGGCACGATAAGGCCCTGAACTTTGGAATAAAGCAGACAGAACAGTAATAAACCTCCCGTGGCCTTTTGTGATTAACGTTTAGGGTTGTTCACACAAAGCCGAGGCACCGGAGAGGATGTTGTAATCAACAATAACAGGTGGAAACCATGAAGATGTTTTGTGCTTCCTGTCACTGCTGCAGTTATGAGGCTTATCAGAAAACCTACTGGTGAGAACCGTCCGCCGTTTACACTGCTCCTCCACTCCGCCCTGCTTCTTGCCCGACACCGTGAACGGCGTCTCAAACACGAAGCGCCTGATGTTGTGGCTCTTCTCAAAGTCAGTCTTTCTGTCCTCGAGCTCCTTGTCGTCCAGGTAGGGTGTGACGTGGGTCACCTGGATGTAGGCGTACTTGGAGTCCAGGTCCTTTGGGTTCACCTGTGGGTGGAAAAAACATAGAGTGAATATAAAGATGAAGGATGAGTCTCCACATCCCATCCAAATGTCCTGAACACACTCATCTTGCAGATTTGAAAGATTTAATAGAGTAAATGAACGATTTAACACAATGCATTCAGGAAAGTATATTGCACTCAAAAGTGTTTCAGTTGGTAGAGCACTTTTCTTTCTGCACG